TGCGTGAGCCCAACAGCTCATTTTCGGGTTTAGGGTTTAGGGTTTTAGGGTTTAGGGTTTAGGGTTTAGGGTTTAGGGTTTAGGGTTTTAGGGGTTTAGGGTTTAGGGCTTTAGGGGTTTAGGGTGTAGGGGGGGGGCTGGCCAGCAGCTTGCCTGTTTCGCCGCGACCTCCTCCTTGAGAGGGAGGTTGTCGGCTGTAGAAGCAGGGCCCTTTCCTGCTGGTATCGTTGCTTGTTCTTGAGAAAGCTTTTGCTCTGGTCGCCCGCCATCGCAGCAGCGACGAAGACGAAAGAACATGCAAGAAGTCCTTCGATCCACTGTTCGCCACTGCACCGAGCATATATCCGGGCACAATCATTATAGGATGCAATTTGCCTCAAATCTGGCTGGCTGCCTTCCATGGCGAAGGCAGCCAGCTCCGCCGCAAAAGCACCCACGTACCAGGCAAAGACTGCCGCGGCCTCCACCGGTCAACGCCTCGTCTGCTGCACCGTCCCACTTGCTCGCGGTATCGACAGGTTGCTTATTATGCATATCATAATATGACTTACGCCCGTCTAGCAGCTTCATGGTTCCGTACTTGAAGGCACATGGATCCTACACTCCTACACTGCTGTGCAACATCCTGATTTTCCAGACTTTCCTACGCGCCGGTGCATCGCCGAAGGCTGCATTCAAGCCTCAATCAGCCCGCCTCCTCTTGCAACCTGCCCTCGGCCATGGCCTTTGCCGAACTCACCAACCCATAAAGTCTATGGGTTGGTTGGTGAGTTCGGAAAAGGCCACGGCCGAGCTCAGGTTGCAAGAGGACATAGAGGCAGCTTGCTGCTTGTAGCGGCGTATGTTGGAGCAGTGCTGCGCCGTACGGCCCGATGAGCCCGGTGGCGGGCGCCTCTAGGTATCGCTGCAACGAAAGCATCCTGTTGTTGATGATATACATCCTGCATTACCAAAAGGACCCTCAACTATGGGAATTGTGGTATATTCCTTCTTATGGGTAATGCAGGATTTATATCATCAACCGTATCCCAAGCGTTTGTCGGCACTCCCCGGGCGAAGCAGATCCGAGCTTCACCCAGCGGATCGAAGCCTTTCAGCTTGCTGAGTTCCGACACTTTCGTGACCGTGAACGCCAGAAAGAGAAGCACAAAGAAGATCACTCATCCTGCAAACCACCAATCTCTGTGCAGTAGAAATATGTGCTGATCTAACCTATGTCGTTCACCACGTCCTCGGTCCGGGTCCGGGGGCAGAAAGGGTGGGGTTCAGGGTGCTGGACGACCTTGAGAGCCTCTTCCCGGTTCAGAGGATTAGGGTTTAGGGTTTAGGTTTTAGGGTTTAGGGTTTAGGGTTTAGGGTTTAGGTAGACTAACAACCATTACAGCATGCCCGAGGCGCAAGAAGGTACCTGTGGAGCTGGAACAAGATGCCTGAAGGCGGACAGCCGTCCCTTTAGCTTCTGTCCGCCCTCAGGGATCATGTTCCAGCTCATGTACCTTCGGGTACGGAATTATTTTGGGTTTAGGGATTCGGGTTTAGGGTACCTTCTTGCGGACATAGCCTGCGGGGACAGCCATTGCGCCCACAGACAGATGCAGAAGCTACGGCCACCAGGCCTCTCTGCGTACAACAGGCGACGATCCCCGCTAATATAACCCTAAACCCTACACCCTAACCCCTAAACCCCACACCCCTAAACCCTACACCCCTAAACCCTAAACCCTACACCTCTAAACCCCTAAACCCGACAATCCTAAACCCTACACCCTAAACCCTAAATGGGAGCTCAGGATTGGTGCATTGCGGGCCCGAACTGCAGCGCATGCTGAAGCCCTAGATATACAATTGCACGCCTTTCTGCACCGCAAGTCCTTCTTGCTTCTATATATATATATATATCTATATACACGCATGTTTATATGTTGTAGTATATATATATATATATTTATACTTATTGTCATGTATGGATAAATATAGATACATTATACTATGAAACATCTAATATGTAATATGTTTCATCTTTACATACATATATTGCGTTGCACCCTGCAGAATAGCACGTTCCACCCATGAAGCCGCATCCACCTCCTGCGTCTTTCGCCGACCACTCTTGGCCACGACCTGATGACAAGCCAGAAACCCTGGAGATGGCTAATGCAGGGGCCTTAATAATTAGAATAGGGTTTTGGGGCCCACTTACTATAGTTATAATAAGGAACCCTACCAGCAAAAAGGGTGATGATTTCGGCTTCTTTCAGCAAACCAGAGGTCGAGAGTTCATGGCACCCACTCAACAGGCAGTCGAGGGTTTAGGGTTTAGGGTTTAGGGGTTAGGGTTTAGGGCAGTCGAGGGTTTAGGGTTTAAGGGATCAAGCAGCGATCAGCTCAGAATTCGATGCAGCTCAAGCAGGCCTGAGTATCAACAAATCAGGCTCATGCACTTCTGCAAAGCTTTGATGCACGTCTGCACAACTTTGGCCTTTCTTCTGACCCTGAACCCTAAACCCCCACATCCTAACCCTAAACCCCTGAAGCCTAAACCCTAGACCCTAAAACCCCTCCTCCCCGCCCCTCTTCGCCTCGAGACACTCCTGCATGAGGCGCACCTGCAGGAAGAGTTTCAGGCACTCTGAGGTAGGGCTTAGGGTTGCGGGTTTCGGGTGTAGGGTTACAGTGATCCGCGGGAACAGAAAGCTGTGAGCTCGCTTCAGGAAGTGCTGGGCAGCAAGGACATGAGTGACCAAGGCCCTCAGTCGCGTCAGCCTCGCAAGGACAAACCTCAATGTCTCAAGTCCGAAGAAGCCAAAACCCCACCACCACTACCACCACCAACAACAACAACAACATACCTTTAATGCTATCAGTAGCAACAACAGTATCAATACTCACAACCATGCAACATGCCCCCCCCCTTTCAAAATACCTTTAACCATGGCAGTGGCAACACTCACGGGTTGAGTCCCCAAGCCCAAAGAAGTTGTCCTGTTGAATTATGGTAGGGTCACACAAAACCCAACACGTTAAAGGTTACCTACTCAGCTAAAACATAAGAACAAGAATCATCCAAACCATAAGCCCTAAACCAAAAATTAGCACGCCCAGCCGCCCCGTCGACAAGCAAAGTCCCCCCGCCCCTGTGATTTTCCCATATCTTGCAATAGACCCCTAAACCCTAAACCCT